GTATCCACACATGTATCTGAGTTTCCTATCAATACAATTCTAGCATGGATAATAAACGATTATCATGAACAAGGAAATATAATAATCAATTTATTATTGCCTCTAGGGCATATTTCCAACAGTTCGGAGTGAGCCAAATAATCCATATTAAATATTGGTGAAGAAACCACACCTTTATAAAATGTTTAAATAATATGAGATGGGTAAAACAGCAGCAAAACAATTATTTTAAATGCTTTTAAATACTAAACAAATGTTAATCTAGTTTATATAATCACCAAACTTTTTGGAGTAGGTGGCCTATGTTATTATGCTAATTTAGGAGTAGGGGTTATATTTTTGTAAAGCTGTTTTGCTAACTAAAATAAATAAAATAGAAAAGGGAAAAATAATAAAAACAGAAAAAACAAAAGAAATTAAAAGCCCCCCCCCCTCACTGGGCCTCGGCCCAGCTGGCCATCCAACTAGGCCGGCCCACCTAACCCTTGCTTAACCCCCTGCCTCTCCCCGTGACCTAGCCACTACCCAGTCAACCCCCCACGATCCCCTTCTCCCCTCCTCGCGCGATCTGGATCGGGCGCACGCCCCGCCCCCGACACGGTCGCCCTCGCCGCCCGGAACGACTTCGCCGCCCGAGGACCTCGCTGGACCGCCTCCACCTCGTCGCCGCCTTCCTCGTCTTCCTCCCCGACTCGCGTCACCAAGCCTCGCCGCCCTGTGCCCCTGCAACGTCGGTGAGGCCATCGGCCTCCGCCTTCCCTCCTCCTCTTCCCCTTCGTCGCCTTGCACACTCGCCGACCGGGCCTCGAACGTGCTCACCACGACCACGCCGCGCCCCTACCACCGCATCGCTCTGCCGACTCCGCCCGCCCACGCCTGTTGTTGCTTCAGCGACGGCCACCGTCCGCAGCTCGAACCGCTCCCCCACCTGGCGGTTCCCGGCCACACCTGCTGCGTCGTTGCCCTGTCCACCATGCCCACCTCTGCTCGCCCGCGCCCTCCCTTGTGTCCTTGCACGCATCCGCCACGCCAACGCCGCCCAGCTCTGCCATGGCCCTCCTCCCTTCACCCCGCGGCCTCCCTCTGCTTCCACTGGAAGCGCGTGAGCGCGTGCTCGCCCCCGGTGGCCTCCGTGACTCGAGTTGCCGCCCATAGCAGCGATCTGGCATGCCTCCGCCGTGGCTCGAGGCCACCAGCGTTTAATCGCCGGCCTAATAGGCCATTAGTGCTAATTGCGCTATTAACCCTCCTGATAAGCCACTAACACATGGGGCCACCCCGCTAATTAATTAGTTGGCTAAATAAACCTCTTTTAATTTACCTCTCATTGACAGTCGGGCCCCACCACTTGTTTGAGTTAATTTAAAAGGTTAAACTCTGGTAAAACAGGCTCTGTCTATGACAGGTGGCCCCCTGGTCAGTTTGACTAGTCAACGTCCATAGTTGACTGCTGACTGGGCAGTCAACTGGGACCACTGTCAACCTTTGGTTCAGTATTGTGTGTACTGGACCGAGTGCACGTAGCCTTTTTCCTTTTACATTTCGAAATTAATATTAATCCAGAAAATCCAGAAATCAATAAAACTTTTAAAATATCATATAAAATAAATTGTAACTCAGATGGAAAAACTTTGTACATGAAAGTTGCTCAGAACGACGAGACGAATCCGGATACACAACCCGTTTGTCCGCCACGCATCCCTAGCATAGGGAACACACAACTTTTCCCCTCCGGTTCATCAGTCTGAAAACGCGAAACACCGGGGATAATTTCCCGGATGTTTTCCCCCTTCACCGGTACCACCTCGTACCCCGTTAGGGCACACCTAGCATCGCGCTTTGTCATGTCATGCATCATCATGCATTTGTTTGCATTATATTTATTGTTTCTTCCCCCTCTTCTCTCACTAGACATCGAGACCGACGCCGCTGCTACCCAGTACAACTACGGTGTTGATGACCCCTCTTTCTTGCCAGAGCAACCAGGCAAGCCCCCCCCCCTTTGATCACCAAATATCGCCTACTCTTTTCTCTACTGCTTGCATTAGAGTAGTATAGCATGTTACTGCTTTCCGTTAATCCTATTCTGATGCATAGCCTGTCCTTGCTACTATTGCTGTTACCTTTACCTGCAATCCTAATGCTTAGTATAGGATGCTAGATTATCATCAGTGGCCATACATTCTTATCCGTCTGCCATGCTATATTATCGGGCCGTGATCCCTCGAGAGGTGATCACGGGTATATTCTATATACTTTATACATGATACATGTGGTGACTAAAGTCGGGTCGGCTTGTGGAGCACCCGCGAGTGATTCACGGATTGGGGGCTGAAAGGACCTTTGTCCCAACGGCCCTCTGTGTGGATCTTTGTGGCGAAGCGACAGTGCAGGTTGTGACCACCTAGGAGAGAGGTGGGCCTGGCCCTGGTCGGTGTTCGCGGATACTTAACACGTTTAACGAGATCTTGGTATTTGATCTGAGTCTGGCTACTGGCCTATACGCACTAACCATCTACGCGGGGACAGTTATGGGCACTTGACGTCGTGGTATCAGCCGAAGCCTTCGTGACGTCAGCGACTGAGTGGCGCGCGCCGGATTGGACCGTAAGCCTGCTCTTGTATTAAGGGGGCTAGTTCTGCTTCCGGCCGCGTTCGCAACATGCAGGTGTGCAAAGGGCGATGGGCCCAGACCCCTGCACCATAGGATTTAGACCGGCGTGCTGACCTCTCTGTTGTGCCTAGGTAGGGCTGCGACGTGTTGATCTTACGAGGCCGGGCATGACCCAGGAAAGTGTGTGTGGCCAAATGGGATCGAGCGTGTTGGGATATGTGGTGCACCCCTGCAGGGAAGTTAATCTATTCGAATAGCCGTGATCTTCGGTAACAGGACGACTTGGAGTTGTACCTTGACCTTATGACAACTAGAACTGGATACTTAATAAAACACACCCTTCCAAGTGCCAGATACAACCGGTGGTCGCTCTCTCACAGGGCGACGAGGGGAGGATCATCGGTTAGGGTTATGCTATGCGATGCTACTTGGAGGACTTCAGTCTACTCTCTTCTACATGCTGCAAGACGGAGGCTGCCAGAAGCGTAGTCTTCGACAGGATTAGCTATCCCCCTCTTATTCTGGCATTCTGCAGTTCAGTCCACCGATATGGCCTTTACACATATACCCATGCATATGTAGTGTAGCTCCTTGCTTGCGAGTACTTTGGATGAGTACTCACGGTTGCTTCTCCTTCTTTTCCTTCTATCCCTTCTACCTGGTTGTCGCAACCAGATGTTGGAGCCCAGGATCCAGACGCCACCGTCGACGACGACTCCTACTACACCGGAGGTGCCTACTACTACGTGCTGCCCGCTGACGACGACCAGGAGTAGTTAGGAGGATCCCAGGCAGGAGGCATGCGCCTCTTCCGATCTGTATCCCAGTTTGTGCTAGCCTTCTTAAGGCAAACTTGTTTAACTTATGTCTGTACTCAGATATTGTTGCTTCCGCTGACTCGTCTATGATCGAGCTCTTGTATTCGAGCCCTCGAGGCCCCTGGCTTGTAATATGATGCTTGTATGACTTATTTTATTTGTAGAGTTGTGTTGTGATATCTTCTCGTGAGTCCCTGATCTTGATCGTACACGTTTGCATGTATGATTATTGTACGATTGAATCGGGGGCGTCACATCCGGCCCGGCGTCCCAACGATGGCGACGTAGCAGGCAGACTATATGGGTGCACGACCGTCGCCGCGCACGTCAACCTCCGTAGCCGGCCACCACTTGCGTTTGGCCTGCTACCGGTGACGCCCACCTCCAGCGCCGACAACCGGAACGCCCACAGGTCCACCATGGCCGACTCTAGGTCCTCGGCCATCATGTCGCTATCCACGTCCGAGCCATTCTGCATCAAGAATCTTCCCCAGCCGGCGATGAAGCGGTAGGCCTCGTCACAGCCTAGCTTCTTGCAGCCGAGCACGGGCCTGTCGCGGCGGTCGCGTCGTAGGCCTGGACTTGCATGTAGGAACAGCTAGCCGCGTCGCCATCTCTTGGCTCTTGCACGGCATGAGCAGCCGGTGCTGCTTGGCGACCCGGCGACGCGGACCAGCACGGATGGAAGTAGGACGAACCATCACTATCACTAAGCGACCACGAAAATCACCGGAAGACACGAGAGAGTGTGCACTGATCAGCAACGTCCGAAAGCAACGTCGACAGCGGCACCGCTAGCACAACATAGACAGAGTCACCGAGGTATGGAAAGCGGCACTGCTCCCTGACAAAGAACGATGGCACCGCGTATTTGCAAATCCTGACAAATCTCGAAAAGGGTGGGGATAGCGACAACACAAATAGACCAACAGCGGCCGAACAACAGAAAGGGACGGCACAATTGGACCAACAGCGGCTCAACAAAATCAGCGCAGATAGCGACACGAAAACTGACCCGACAGGACACAAACGAAATCCAACGGCCAGTAAAATTGGAAGAAATAAAGCATATAAGAAGAACAACCACGCCAGCCTGCCCCACATGCAATCAAAAATGCTAAACAAACCAAAAGAACCATCACGCCAATTCAAAAAATTTCAAATGAAAACCTGAATCCACAACGCGTTTGTACACAACCAGCTACCAAAATAATACACGTGCCCCATAGGAATTTACCCAAAAGTCTTTTTCTTCCAAGTGGATGAATCTTGGATCGAAAAAGCTCCCAGATATAGAGGCTTGGGTATACTTCCTTTGTTCTCAAATATTACGTACGGAGCAAAATGAGTGAATCTATATTCTAAAATATGTCTACATACATTCATATATTGTATTTCATTTAAAATGTCTAAAAAGACTTATATTTAGGAACAGAGGGAGTAAAAGTGAACAGAGAGTAAGTGATTTAAATACTTTTATACGTAGTATTTTTTACAGAGGGAGTATTAGGTATTTTGGGAAGGAGGGGGGGAGTATAGAAGACGTGGCCCTAGCTCCCGCGCCGCAGATGGCGAACCGGGCGGCCCAGCTCGCGGGCGTGCTCCAAGCCTGCATCAAGCGGAACCCAAAGCCCAGCCGCGCCCACGCCAAGGCTGCACACGCGCGCGTCCTCGCCGGCGGCCTCGCCGCCGACACCTTCCTCCTCAACCGCCTGGTCGAGCTCTACTCGCTCTCCGGCCTCCCGCGCGACGCCCTCCGCGCCTTCCGCACCCTGCCCCACCCCAACGCCTACTCCTACAATGCGGCGCTCTCGGCGGCCAGCCGCGCGGGCGACCTCGACGCGGCCCGGACGCTGCTCGACGAAATGCCCGAGCCGAACGTCGTCTCCTGGAACACCGTCATCTCCGCGCTCGCGCGGTCCGAGCGCGCGGGCGAGGCGCTGGGCCTCTACGAAGGGATGCTGCGGGAGGGCCTCGTCCCGACGCACTTCACGCTCGCCAGCGTGCTCAGCGCTTGCGGCTCCATGGCCGCGCTCGAGGACGGGAGGCGCTGCCATGGGCTCGTAGTCAAGGTCGGGCTTGAAGAGAATCTGTTCGTGGAGAACGCGCTCCTTGGCATGTACACCAAGTGCGGCAGCGTCGGGGATGCTGTGCGGCTGTTCGACCGGATGGCTCGCCCGAACGAGGTGTCGTTCACGGCGATGATGGGAGGGCTGGCACAGACTGGGTCCGTGGACGATGCGCTCAGGTTGTTCGCCAGGATGTGCAGGAGTGGGGTACGAGTTGATCCCGTGGCCGTGTCAAGTGTTCTGGGCTCGTGCGCACAAGCTGGCGCCAGCGAGTTCAATGTTCTTCGCGCGTTCCAGCTTGGGCAGTGCATTCACGCCTTGATCGTCAGAAAAGGCTATGGGGCAGACCAGCATGTGGGGAACTCCTTGATCGATATGTACACCAAGTGCATGCAAATGGACGAGGCTGTCAAGGTGTTCGACTCATTGCCCAGCGTCAGTATTGTTTCTTGGAACATCCTTATAACTGGATTTGGCCAGGCGGGCAGTTATGAGAAGGCTTTGGAAGTATTGAACATGATGGTAGAGTCGGGCTCTGAGCCCAATGAGGTCACTTACAGTAACATGCTCGCGTCCTGTATTAAGGCGAGGGATGTTCCATCTGCTCGTGCAATGTTTGACAATATATCAAGGCCGACTTTGACTACGTGGAACACACTTTTGTCTGGTTACTGCCAGGAGGAACTGCATCAAGAAACAATCGAGTTGTTTAGGAAAATGCAGCATCAAAATGTGCAGCCTGACCGAACAACTCTGGCCATGATCCTCAGTTCATGCTCAAGATTGGGGAATTTGAACCTTGGAGCACAAGTTCATTCTGCTTCAATAAGACTCCTGTTGCATAATGACATGTTCGTCGCTAGTGGTTTGGTCGATATGTATGCAAAATGTGGACAGATTAGTATTGCCAGGAGCATTTTCAACAGGATGACAGAGAGAGATGTGGTGTGTTGGAATTCCATGATCTCAGGTTTGGCTATCCATTCTTTCAACAAAGAGGCCTTTGATTTCTTCAAGCAGATGCGACAAAATGGAATGATGCCCACATCCTCCTCCTATGCTACCATGATTAATTCATGTGCAAGACTTCCTTCCGTACCTCAAGGTAGGCAGATACATGCACAAGTTGCGAAAGATGGTTATGATCAGAATGTCTATGTGGGTAGTGCCCTGATTGATATGTATGCTAAATGTGGCAACATGGACGATGCACGTCTTTCCTTCGACAGCATGGTGACTAAGAATATAGTTGCATGGAATGAGATGATACATGGATATGCTCAGAATGGTTTTGGAGAAAAGGCCGTTGAACTATTTGAGTATATGTTAACTACAGAACAGCGGCCAGATAGTGTCACTTTCATTGCCGTCCTAACAGGATGTAGTCACTCCGGGCTCGTAGATGAAGCCATTGCATTCTTTAATTCCATGAAGAGTACTTACAGAATTACACCACTGGCTGAGCATTACACTTGTCTCATAGATGGATTGGGGCGAGCGGGTCGGCTTGTTGAAGTGGAGGCACTAATAGAACAGATGCCATACAAAGATGATCCTATAGTGTGGGAAGTTCTACTTGCTGCATGTGCTGTACATCACAATGCTGAATTGGGGGAATGTGCCGCGCAGCACCTGTTCCACCTTGATCCAAAGAACCCATCACCCTATGTTCTCTTGTCAAACATATATGCTTCCTTAGGCCGACATGGGGATGCATCAGGCATTAGGGCATTGATGATTAGCCGTGGAGTTGTCAAAGGTCGTGGATACAGCTGGATAGATCACAAGGATGATGTTCGTGCCTTTATGGTTGCTGATGATCTTCAGAAGGACAGTGGAGAATCTAAAATGTTCAGCAATCAAGAGAGTGCTGCTGGGGTTACAGAAGTACACCAGAAAGAGACATGTGCTGGTTGATTTGGGCTTTTTGATATCAGACGCACTGGTGAATCTGTTTCAGTGATAGCTGAATTCAGTAGTGCCACTTCTGTGCAATTTGCTTGAGAGCCTCAAGCTTTACTGTTGTATGTAGCTTCATGTATCTGGAAGATGGGAAACACAGTCTGAATGTTCAGTAGAAAGAATATGCAAGACAGGAATGGGTTGTGTTGCAGATTAGGTGCTAATGAAATTATGTGCTCGGTTCATGTCATTACGTGGTGCAGAGCTTCATCTTAATGAGCATGCACTACGATGAGTTGTGCATTTGAGAGCGCAAAAGCAATTGTTGCCCGGTTATATGAGGGTAAGTTAAATCTTTGGATAAACACAATAACCTTCCATTTACTTTTCAGTCAGTATCCGTAAGTGTATTGAATAGATCAACTGTGACATGATTTTGATTACCACTCCACATGCACTGGAGTCTGGAGGACAGAGTGGTGCCCTTTCTGTACCTGGTTGTAATTTTAGTAGCAATTGCTCAAGTTTAAGCAGTCACTTCTATTTTACGTTTAACTTCCTTGTGCTAGAAAAGAAATTTGCATAAGATGAAATTTTGATCAGTTGCTCTGCACTTGCTGCACACAACTCATTTGGTTGCACTGTTGCAGACAAGGGAGGCTGTGCAAGCATCACAATCAACAGTCACAACTCTGAAACAAAATCAATTGATATTAATGTTGTTTTCAGTTTAAGATCTCTTCAATAGTAACATTACAATAGTAACATTAATACAACACAATTATAAATTAATGTTGATGTCTCAAAAGTTTGACATAGGGTTTCTTCATTATCGGCCTATAGCCATTGACCATAGTACAATAGGTATTTCTGTTTCATAACCTTTGCAAATCTTGCCACGGAGAAATGCCATTGTGCTGAAAATCTGAGCTGAATGCTGCAGGATGCAATGACTGCATTCATAGCTTCGGAATGGTTGATTTAAGAGCCAGTGGATATAACTTTTGGATAATCATTATCTGGCTTCGCTTCTCACTCTGTCCAAGATCCGTCGTAAACTGGAATGTCATGCTTCCCAATTCTATAGAGTCCCTGTAAAGAAATATTGTTAGACACCTGCTTGGCAGAGTCGATGTCTCAGTGATAATATCCAAGAACATGCCAGATTTCTAGACCAGAGCAAAGTATGCAGGCAGTTACACCAGATCCGCATGTGATGACTATTGGTTGATCAAAGTGAAGTCCCTGAAGAGACATCAAACCGGGCGCTATTATTACTGTTGCTTGGTGAAACTTTTGTACTCATGTACACATCTGATAGGCCCAAGAAATGATTGCCTCTTAGGTCAGAATGTACTTCTGTTTTCTGTATTGTACACATTGAAAATTTTCTTGTTTCCTTTCATAGCAAAGGCCATAATAAACTATGAGTTTCAGACTAGAACAGTGAGATGAAACAGAATTCACACGTGCTTGCTCAAATTTCTTACATAGCTCTTTATGCAGGGAGAAGCATTGGTGCACCATCAATCATTTGGGAGAAGACTAGCATTGTCATATTCTTAGCCTTTTATGGTTATCCAAGTATATATATATTATCTTATAATGATATCGGCACTATACCCACCTCAGGGAATGGAAGACATTTAGCTCCAGGTATGTGCCCGCTTCTTGCTCCTTCACTTGGTTCTCGTGCTACACCGTCAAATCTGTGAATGAACTTTAAGTGGCTTTCGTGACAACAATAATTAAAAAACTGTAGATAACACTGGGGGAAGATCAACAACAATAAATGGCATCATGTTCAGTTCATTTGCTCTGAAAATTTAGACATAGATAAAAGACAACATTTTATAAAGGCCTGGCATCATGTTTAGTTACATTAAGTTTTTATTTTTGAGGGACAGTTGCATTAAGTTTTGAAAATGAGATGTATACACGACAATAACCTTTTATATCAAACCATTCAACGTAATTGTGTCTTTTTAACATCCTTTTTGCAGTAGATGCAACAATACAGAGGGGGAAAGGAACTTCTAGGTATATGACTTTGGTATGCTGCAATGTGGAACTCTGTAGCGAAATCCTCATTGGCGGGATGATAACAAGGCCGATGCGCCCCTAGGTGGGAAAAGAACCGGCGATGGTCTTTGGCATCCTCCGTGTGTGTTTTGTGTTGCCATGACGAAGACCGCTGTTGTTCCTTCCGCGACAGTGTTCGAGTCTGAAGATGGTTAAGTCGGATTTGTTGTTCCTGTCTATACCATCTATTTTGTTTTCCCGTAGGATTATCATATTCACAAGTGTGGGTCGGTTCCTTTTGTAATACTTGTGTTTGTTGTCTACATCTTTCTGAATTAAGACTTGTGTGGAAATCTGAGAACTGAAGGTTACCAGAGGCTCTGGTTACGGTGCAAGGTGTGCTAACGAATTTCAGTATGTGAAATTTTGTGTGAACTGGGGTTTCATGAAGTTGCATGAATCGTCTTTGGAACGTCTTGGTTAGCAATCTCCGACACCGTGCTTTTGTCAAACACGATAATACAAGATGCAAGCAAATGCACAGGGTTTCTCAAAAGTAAAAGTAATATTGCGCTTGTGTTACGATTCGTTTCAGGACTGTAGATAAAGCCAGTGGACTGCAACATCTTTGAAACAAGATTAGTAAGCAAGTCAACTATACTGTATATTTGATCCATGCTTTACTTAGAAAAGGTTTTTGTCATCTCAACTCACTATACAGATTAGTAAGCAAGTCATCTCTTGTTTAAACGAATCTCCCTTTGCTTTTCAGATATCAACATCCAGATGCACAGCCATGTCAGTGCACCTGCAGTCGATGTCGATGCTCAGCAGAGGATTAATACCACAATGAGGCGACTGGGGGCAGCGACGCACAGTTGTTCTTTTCATTCAGAAGATGGAATATGAGTTCCATTAACTGTGACTCCAGCCAAATCACCTCTGGTCTGCTATATATGCTGTCTCAAGATCTTGGCACAGACCTGCAATGAAGCCTGTTGTCATGTGTAGTGCCCTTCTCAGCGCATTGCAAGAGCACAGACCTCTCAAGAGAAACACTGAAATATAAGAATGTGAAACAACATCAATTAATCATGCGAAGGAAGCTGATATCAGTAAGTACTTCCATGAAACAACACAGTCTCATACTCTGTATATGTTTTTAACACCTCAATGGCAGCAATGGCCGCGGATAAAAGCATGATGCTCTGTTGTATGTCAGTTTCATGTGATACAATCTGAATTAAGTACACATCTAATGCTCTCAAAGTTAAGGCTGAAATGACTACATGAGGCATAGAAGTGTTGATCCGAGCAAATTCAACATCGTCGCTGTTTCAATGTACTCCCCCTGTCCCAAAATTCTTGTCTTAGATTTGTCTAGATACGGATGTAGAATTTTGGGATGGAGGGAGTATCAGAGAATGGAGATTTCAATGGGCTGAGTTAGAAAGGTGATATAAAAGGCCATTCATGAGGGGGAACAACATCAGCTATACTTATTAATGTCAGTGCTAAGGACAGTGGCGGAGGACGAAAGAAAATTGAGGTGTGGCAGACTCTAAAGCATTTTTTTAATGCAAAACTAAAGTAGCCAATACAAACTAAAATGCACAAATAGATTTTCCGTGTAAAAAAAGTTACATATGCATGCTGAAATGTGACCAATTAATAAAGTCAGGAACTTGCATGGCACAGTAGAAAGGTATCGTCGCTAATTTTACAATATTAAGCCATAAAACATTTCAGGCTGATCAATTATATGCACAAAACCAAAAAGACACTTCACAAACGCATGGGCATGAGAAATCGTTTAAGTCACTGATCGCTTGCTGATCTATAACATCCTCTATAACACTATGTTCCTTAATTTTAAAGAGCCCACAATCAACTGAGGTCTTCAATTAGAATAGGGTCACCCGATTTTGACACGGTAAACAATTTCTCAAAGCTTTTCCATTTAATTCTTTTATATCATACACTATACTTCCTAATTTTTAACGCCTCATAATTAATTGAGGTATTGAATTTAGAATTGGGGTATCCAATTTTGACCGGGTCTTCTCAAGTTCTCTCATCCTTAATTTTTGAATCTTCTTTCATTCAATTGAGCTTTTTTTTATCCATTGAGCTATTCAATTTTGGATTTGACTTACGATTTTGACTGTGCCAACAATTTATGAAATCAATCAACAACAACCAGCCTATAAAAACATATCAATCCCACGCACTCTCTCACCTTCTAGAAAAAATCATGTGATACTGTAGCACTAATATATAGAGAGCCACCGACACAGAAATTTCCCCTCAAAAATATAAGTCGGTTAGTGGATAACATATAATCAACCATGAAAGGCCCACCAAATCATTGCATTATAAATAAAAATAAACACAATCCATCATCTCCCCCACCCGTCAAACTAAATATTTCATCAGTTCCAAACTATAAGGGTATTAGTTTCTTAAAAAGTTGAATTTCTTTAATTTTGACCAAGTTGAGAGCAAAACTATCAACATCCACAATGTTAAACAAAAAAATTATGGAAATTCATTTCATGATGAATCTAATCATACCGATCTAATATTATGGATTTTGATATATCTCCCTACAAATTTGATCAAATGTAAAATGTTTGACTTTTATCGAAAAAGGCTTTCGCCCCGCTTTATATATAAAGCACCAATCCACAACCGATCGAGACAACCCACAACACAACACATCAACACACTCACCCAAGGCCGGGTGCATAGGTGCCAAAGGCCTACAACAACAACACCCCGAACAACATGAGGTAGACACTAAAGAGCCATCGGAGCTCTTCCCGAAGAACACGTGAAAGGTGAAGTTGAATGACGACGAACTGAGAGCTCCAAGACAGTGCCTTCAAGAAGGACACGACACTAAAGCGCCGCCACCGCCCGATCCAAAGATCTAGATTTTCATCCGGAGCACGACGAGGAGAAAGGGGTGACCACAACGAAGACTTCAGGAAGATAACGACGTCCGCGGGCGCCGCCTCCGTCGGCCTGGCCAAGCTAGACAAGGTTTTCGCCCCGGCAACAAACTCCAACTTCCCCAGCACAGATCGCCACAACGCCAGCCACCAC